CTTTAGACTGAAAAAAAAAATTTTATCAGGCCAAAACCACAGCCTTTTAAAAAAAATGTTTTCATTATTTTCATTTTTTTATCTTTTTTTTTTTTTTACTTTACTGTTGGGGGCTTTGGGAAATATTAGGGGTCGAAGTGGACCCCTGATATTTCCCTTTTTAAAATAGAAAAAGAGATTGAGGACACAGTCGATTTCTTTTTCTGCAGCCCTTGTTATGAATGAACAGGAAGCCTCTATACTGAGTGTCCCTGTCCATTCATAAACTGTGGATAAAGTATGAGTTAGTATGTCCACAATCGTGAATGAACAGGAAGTGATGTAGAGCACTTCCTGTTCATTCATAATTGGGGACACAGTAAGCATTCATTCATAATTGGGGACACAGTAAGCATACGCTGAGTGCATATAACCCGCTCTCCAACCTGGTGAGTGAAGAGAGCTCGGTCTCCTGCGACGGGCAAGTCAGGTTGGAGAGCAGGTTACAAGCACTCGGCGTATGCTTACTGGTGTCCCTAGTTACGAATGAACAGGAAGTGCTCTACAGCACTCCCTGTTCAGGATGGCGCCGCAAGAACAATAGAGGTAAAGTGGAACTGGGGGTTCCACATTATCAATCCGTCCTTTAATGGCGTTAGGTAAACATGCTATCACAAAAGATCACAATGTTTCGGAACTAATGTGGTCCTTTCATGAGGCAAAACAATGGGACCACGCTAGTTCCGGAACATTGCAATCCTTTGTGATAGCATGTTTATCTAACATCAATAAAGGATGGATTGATAATGTGGACCCCGGTGTGCTGGTGACCTATTGACCTCTATTCTTCCTGGGTGAGAGAACCAACACCGACCTATAATAGAGAAACCATGTCAACTGGTCAAGTATATTCAGGTGATTTTTTTTATTTTATTTATAAACCTAATGACATAGGCATAGGGAGGGTATTGGGGGCTCTGTTGGATAGGATCCTATCGGAACCTGGCACGATTCAGTGCCTACAGACAAATCTGACCCTCCTAATAATGCTTGACCCACCGTGCCGGCTTGCCCTCGGAGCTGGGCAAGGAGAATGTTGACCGAGCATTTCTTCTAAATTAAAAACTGTTTGCGGGTGTCAGTATGAAGTTGCTGTCTGTTAAGTATCATATTAATATTGCCCTGCTCCCACCGATCTTTCATTTGTGCAACTGGGGAAACCTAATGCTGCAGATCTAGTGTCACCATCGTCTTCGCTGAATCTTGGGGGGAGGGGGGTTTGGAGAGTGATTAAAGGAAATGTCTGCAGCTATAAAGATTTAGTACGGGATTCAGCGATACAAAATACTTTCGACCATTTGATGCTTTACGACTCTGCAACAGAAGATTTATTTTTCTGTATAGCAGGATACATTCCCAGGGAGGAAGAGATCGGTATTAAGTGCAGAATGCATGCCGCTGTGTGTCCCAGTAGTGAAGTTAGAAAGCGGGGACACCGGCACTCCAGTATAAGTAGAAAGCATGGACACCGGCACTCCAGTATAAGTAGAAAGCGGGGACACCGGCACTCCAGTATAAGTAGAAAGCATGGACCGGGGCACTCCAGTATAAGTAGAAAGCGGGGACACCGGCACTCCAGTATAAGTAGAAAGTGGGGACACCGGCACTCCAGTATAAGTAGAAAGCATGGACACCGGCACTCCAGTATAAGTAGAAAGCATGGACACCGACACTCCAGTATAAGTAGAAAGCATGGACACCGGCACTCCAGTATAAGTAGAAAGTGGGGACACCGGCACTCCAGTATAAGTAGAAAGCGGGGACACCGGCACTCCAGTATAAGTAGAAAGCGGGGACACCGTCACTCCATTATAAGCGTAAAGCAAAAAAAAAAGTCTTATTTATTGAAGAAAAAAAAGGACGTGTCACAAAATTGCGACAACCGTTTTCGGGGGTCACGCAGGATCCCCTTCCTCAAGCTGTGACACGTGAAGTCGTGTTGTGAAGTACGCACTGCAACTTAGCCCGCCCGCTGCCTACTACTGCGGTGGTGTCACACACACACACTTGGCTTTTGAACATTTCAGATGCTAAGAAGAAACACCTGCCCGTCGGTGCCGGAGGAGCGCGTTGGCAGATTTGTGTGTGGTTGGAACGAAGCCAGGAAGTCATGGAAGGACAAGCGGGGGTTTTATCTGTACTCATTGGAGAGTCGGGGATTACGTGGAAATGTTTTTTTATGCTGAACAGGAAGAGGAATGTCACCCGGGTCGCGTGTCTTTTAGCTACTGACATGTGGAGCAAAGTGACTCCGCTTTGCTTTTCCTTGTTGTACTTATGATAATACGAGTTCCCTCGTTATCAGATGTTCATTTGTACTTTAGCTCTCGTACGGAGAGAAACGCTTAGCCGGCCATTGATAACTTCCTTCTGGTAATTACTAACGACTTGGCTGTCTCTGGTTTCAATACAGGCAGTCCCCGGGTTACATACAAGATAGGGGACTGTAGGTTTGTTCTTAAAGTGACATTAAACCCTCAGATTTTTTAACATAAAACAATACTGTAATGTGCGCCTTACTGTAATCCATGGTTTTTTCCCTTCTCTTTGCTGCTCTTCCTTTTAAATCCGTATCTGTTCTCATGCCGGGGGAGAACTTCTGTTTTGCAGCAGACTGCCTTGTCTCAGGAATGGATACACGGTGTCTGTGTGCAGGTTCACAACCTGAGCCAGCACTACAGGAAGAGGCACTCAGCTGCAAAGGGAAGTTCTCCCCAAGCATGAGAAGACATGAGGATTTAAAAGGAAGAGCAGCAAAGAGAAGGGAAACTACCATGGATTACAGTAAGGCGCACATTACACTATTGGTTTATGTTAAAAAATCTGAGGGTTTAATGTCACTTTAAGTTGAATTTGTATCTAAGTTGGAACAGGTAAATTTTTTAGGCGCTCACAGCGCTCTCCTCCCGCAGCGCTCGGCCGGCTGTCACACTTTCTCTCCTCCCCACTGGGACACAGAGCAGCGCCCAGGGGGTAGGAAAGAAATCATGGATGCGCCGCTGTATCGGCAGAAAAATTGCACTTTCTGCATTTAGCCACATGTGCCATTTTCGGCCGATATGTTTCGGCGCATCCCTAAATTTTACATCAGCTTCTGGTTTCCTACGTGCGCATGCTTGTAACATTTTATTGGGGTGCTGTCTGCTTTTTGTTCTTTGTAATGTGTTTCCCTGCCGTTCTTCCTCTGCCCGGTGCGGTGTGTGTCGAGAGGACAAGCCATCTCATCCTTATCACGGAAGGATGTTTTATTTTGTGTGGTCGTCATGCAAGACCGAATTATTCCACGCGGTTTTGTCCGTCGCCATAGATATCGGCGACATATATGTGAAATGGCCGGCCCAGGCGATGAATAGGTCCGGTCTAATCTAGGACATGGTTGCACCGCATCGAATCAAATGCATTCTTATCTGGAGCCCGTTGTGTCTGATTGCGGCACTTTATTAGCTTCCGATGTGGTGACCGCGCTGCGGCTCTCCGATGTACATTCTGTTCTGAGGGAAGCGAGTGGTTTGCCGCCACGCCGCTGATTAGAGTTCTTCAGTGTAATTAAACTTTGAAGTGAAGTGGTCGGTTTGTGCTTCAAGTTCAAGTGTGTCTCAACCCAAGAGCATAATGTAGGGCAGCTTAGGAGTTCCTAAACCTCCCTCTTCTCCTCATCTCCATCACATGGCCCTCTTCTCCTCATCTCCATCACATGGCCCATCACATGGCCCTCTTCTCCTCATCTCCATCACATGGCCATCTTCTCCATCTCCATCAGCATGTAGTTCACAGTGTAGTCAGCTCGCTACAGGAAGTTACAAGCTCTTTGGGTTTCTGGCAGGATCAACCGGCATTCTTTGCACTTATCAGACTGATCTCTCCCAACACTTCCAATAGTATAATTGACGGACCAAATGGAACAAGTTGGTGAGGTAATTGGTTACAATTTTTATTTAAACTTTAAGGAGAAATGCTGATAGTGGAATGTTCCATCAAAAGTGTTTTATGTAAAATATACACCGATCAGCCGTAACATTGTGACCACAGAGAGGTGAGGAACATTGATTATTTGGTTACACCTGGAAGTGGTATGACACGTGGGGGGGGGGATATATTGCAATGGCACCTAGTATGCTGATTAGCTTGGTAGCCGGCTTCCCGGCCAATCAGCATCGGTCCGCCCAAACAGCATGGAACCGGTTCCCAGCCAATCAGGAAGCCGGGCGGCGAGTAATGACCCGGCTTCTTGATTGCCCAGGAAGCTTGCTCCATGCTAGCGGAAGTACCGGTATCACTATTCAGTATCGGCGATACTGAAATATAAATATGGGTAATTGATACCAAATAAACGGTATTGTTGCATCCACGTTGTAAATCCATCCATAAAAACCTTCTGTTGGGCTGAAAGTCGGCAGTTTGTGGTGCGTGTACATTAATAATATAGATATATGGTGCAATATGGATACGTTATTTCCCCTCTCAGCCTCTAGCTGTGTCTGTACCTCAATGTCTTATAGCCCATGTGGTCACATGACATAGGTGACAGATGGGCCACCAGGGAGGCGGTTAGATTGTCACAGTGGATGTGTCTCTAGTTTCCTGTACACAGCAATAGAAATGATGGTCCGGGTTTATCCAATCAAAGCTCTCGAGAAGCATCTGTCTTCATTTTCATTTTCTAAGTCCAATGTTCATCCTTTTCTTTACGTTTTCTCCACTACAGCATGCACTGCGTTTGTTGGCCTTCGGACAGATTTACAAGGTGTTGCAAATGGACCCCCTGCCATCAAATAAACCCTTCCAAAAATATTCCTGGTCAAGCACAGACAGGGAAGGTAAGAGCCTACAAGGTGTCTGCTTCTATTTACTGTTCCGTACACATGTGAGACCTAAAGCTGGCCATGCACTGCAGGCTGAACAAAGAGAATAGAACAGATTCCTCCATCAACGCTCACCAGTGTGGATTGAGGAATCCCGGTGCTGTCCCCCCCGGGGCTGGCGGCCTCTGTCACAATACACAGATGGTGCTTGAAGCTCATTGGAGAAGAGAAGGGGATGGAGCCATTGCCCATTACAGATGATTGGAAAGCGTGTTACATTTTCCATTTGTGGGTTTGAAAGTTGAGCTCTTAACCCCGGGGTGGGCAACCCTATATACTCTGGCCCTCCAGCTGTCCTCTAACTGCAGAGCCCTTAACCCTGGGGTGGGCAACTCCGGCCCTCCAGCTGTCCTCTAACTGCAGAGCCCTTAACCCAGAGGTGGACAACTCCGGCCCTCCAGCTGTCCTCTAACTGCAGAGCCCTTAACCCCAGGGTGGACAACTCCGGCCCCCCAGCTGTCCTCTAACTGCAGAGCCCTTAACCCAGAGGTGGGCAAACCTATATACTCCGGCCTTCCAGCTGTCCTCTAACTGCAGAGCCCTTAACCCTGGGGTGGGCAACTCCGGCCCTCCAGCTGTCCTCTAACTGTAGAGTCCTTAACCCCGGGGTGGGCAAACCTATATACTCCGGCCTTCCAGCTGTGCTCTAACTGCAGAGCCCTTAACCCAGAGGTGGGCAAACCTATATACTCCGGCCTTCCAGCTGTGCTCTAACTGCAGAGTCCTTAACCCAGGGGTGGGCAACCATATATACTCCGGCCCCCCAGCTGTCCTCTGACTGCAGAGCCCTTAACCCTGGGGTGGGCAACTCCGGCCCTCCAGCTGTCCTCTAACTGTAGAGTCCTTAACCCCGGGGTGGGCAAACCTATATACTCCGGCCTTCCAGCTGTGCTCTAACTGCAGAGTCCTTAACCCAGGGGTGGGCAACCATATATACTCCGGCCCTCCAGCTGTCCTCTAACTACAGAGCCCTTAACCCAGGGGTGGGCAACTTCAACCCTCCAGCTGTGTTCTGACTACAGAGCCCTTAACCCAGGGGTGGGCAGCTCCGGCCCCCCAGCTGTGCTCTAACTACCCATCCTAACATGCCTCTGAGAGTCAAACCTGTAAGTATCAGTTTTGCAATGCATCATGGGACTTGTAGTTGTACAACAGCTGCAGGGCTGGAGTAGCCCACCCTTGCCTTAACCAGATAATTTGTTGTACATCTTGGTTTTTGTTATTGGTTTGCTTTTTTTTTTTTAAGTAAAGTTTTTTTCTCATGTTTTTGTATTTTACATACAACACTGCATTAAAAGAAGAACTCCAAGAATTTCAAAAACTTTCCCTTAGAGTGGGGCTACCCCCACATTGCAGGGTAGTTAAGGGCTCGTTTTTCTCCAGGAGATGGAATAAAGCAGATATACTCGCCTGATCCTCAGCCCTGCTGAGCTGATAGACTGTTCCCCGCAGCCTCTTCTCCACTGGGCTCCATCAGTCTAAGGACCACTAAGGTCATCACGTGTAATGCATGACTTGCATTAGACGTAAGGATGCAGGGAGATATTCCATAGCAGAGGGTGAGAGAGGTACGTGCCTGACGCCGCAAGACCGAGGATCAGGTGAGTATATCTGCTTTATTCCGGCCCCTAGAGAAAAGCAAGCACTTAACCCTTGCAGTGTGGGGATAACCTCACTGCAAGGGAAGGTTTTTAAAATGCCCAAAGTTCTCCTTTAAGAACCTGGACCTTACATTGTAAATTATGGTATACATAACATTTGGTCCACTAATGTGACATTAATCAGTATGCAATATGAAGGTTATTTCAGTATTGTCCTCACTTGAGGGTATCAAGTGGTTGGACAGCAGCATAAGGTAAGGCTATATACACCGCCTGTCCAAAAAAGTGTCACCACCTGGATTTCGGGCCGTGTTTATGATCTGGGGTGGCTTCAGTTGGTCAGGTCTAGGTTCAGCAACATTATGTGCCCTAAAAATGAGGTCAGCTGCCGACCTGAATATACGGAATGACCAGATTTTCCATCGATGGATTTTTTTCTTCCCTGATGGCACATTGGGCATATTCCAGGATGGCAATGCCGGGATTCATCGGGCTCAGATTGTGAAAGAGTGGTTCAGGGAGCCTGAGACATCATTGTCACACATGGATTGGCCACCACGGAGTCCAGACCTTGTCATGTGCTGGAGAAGACTTCCTGGTCCGACTCTCCCATCATCACTACAAGATCTTGGTGAAAAATGAATGCAACTCTGGACGGAAATAACTCATGAGATTGCATCATGGAAACGTTGCCATGGCGACTGCCGTAATCAAAGCAAAAGGTGGTCCAAATATCAGTGCGTGACTTTTTTTTTTTTTTTTGGGACAGGCAGTGTAGTTGTTACAGGCAATGTAGACAATGACATTGAGACAAAAATGTTCATGTCTGTAGTAGTTTACTTTCACATCTTCCATCTGACACATTCCACGGTGAATGAATTAAAGGTGATGGTACTCGGTGTATATAATAATCCGGCCACTCGGTGTATATAATAATCCGGCCACTCAGTGTATACACCAGTGTTTCTGTATATGTTTTTGTATGTTCCTGACACTCATTAGAGCTGAAGCGGCTCCTCAGATGGGTTTGGGAAATGTCTTCAGCATTACGGAACATGTCCATATGAATGTGACAAGCTACCACTAACCTTCCCAGCACGACTCAGACAGGGGCTGTCAAAAGTGTCCGTGGCCTAATGTCCTAAATATCAGCTAAAATGTCATCAGATTTCAGCAGATCTCTTCCACAGTTCTGGGGAAACAGACGGAATCAAAGCGTTCTCTCTGCTCTCTGGTGTTAATTTGGGCAAATGACGAGAGAAAATATTTTCATCCAATTGTTTTTTAATGTTTTCCATAGCTGAGAGAATTTGAAGTGTGTGTAAATTCCTGTGTTAGAGAGTTTTATGATACGAGTGGCCAGAAAAACCATCACCACCTGGATTCTGGGCAGTGTTATGATCTGGGGTGGCTTCAGTTGGTCAGGTCTAGTTTCAGCAATTTTATGTGCCCAAAAACTTAGGTCAGCTAACTACCGGAATATACTGAATGACCAGATTTTCCATCAGTGGATTTTTTTTCTTCCCTTATGGCACATTGAGAATATTCCAAGAGGACAACGCCAGGATTCATCGGGCTCAGATTGTGATAGAGTGGTTCAGGGAGCATGAGACATCATCTTCACACATGGATTGGCCACCACAGAGTCCAGACCTGAACCCCATGGAGGATCTTTGGGATGTGCTGGAGAAGACTTTACACCGTCGTCCAACTCTCCCATTAAGAGTGGTTCAGGGAGCATGAGACATCATTGTCACACATGGGTTGGCCACCACAGAGTCCAGACCTGAACCCCATGGAGGATCTTTGGGATGTGCTGGAGAAGACTTTACGCAGAGGTCCGACTCTCCCATCAAGACGTCGGTCAAAATTAATCGATTTTAAAAAATTTCGATTAATCGAACACGAAAATTTTAATCATTACCAGCCCTAGTTTTTACTCTTGCGGGTTCCATTTCTATAGTTTGCCTGTACCTGAATAAAATGTATCTGCACTAGGGAAGGCGCCCCCTGTTCTTTTTTTTTTTTCTAGATACTACAGTGGCCCTGGCTGAAGTGGGGCAGCATCCTGCAGTATGCACCTTTACTGAACCCTTTAGAGGAGTTGGTTGTCCCCGGCGCTTTTTGTTCTTGTTTGTTCTGTATTCTGATAACCAGTGATGAGCGCTACATTCTATACCTTTTTTATGCAATGATAACATCCTTCCACTTTAACCCTTTGCAGGACTAAAGCGGCCATACGACGATGGTCCCTGTGATGACAAGGACCCGAATAAGAAAATGAGGCGTAATTTGCGCAAAAGTAAGTATTTTGTATTCTCGCCTGTCATTGGATGTTCGGAGTCAGGAATTTAAGTCGGGGTAACAGTAAACTTTGATCAAAGCTCTAAAACGTTGTTACAGCTTATGAACGGAATTGGTAACGTTTTGGGAATAATGAAGGCGGCCAGCACATTTCGGGGGGGCTGCAGCTCCTCTTCTTCGTTAGGGCTACAATACAGCACCAAAATATTTCTTTACAAATTGGATTTTGTTTTTGTTTTTTTATATATACATCTTTGTGAAACATGATCCTGAAAAACTAGGGGACGCGATCCGATACCAGTAAGGGCGTGATGGAAGTGAAAATCGATGATTGTAATGGCAGTAAAAATTAGGATTATAATTAGGGATGCACTAATACCGTTTTTCCGGTACTCGCCCATACCGAGTATCGATGCCGTGTGCCCCAATTGTCCGGAAGTCGGGCGGTAAATCGCGACCTCTCGTGCGGCTTCCTGATTGCCTCCGAAGCCGGTATTCTTGAGAAAGAACACCGGCTTCACTTGCCGAGGCTGCCTGGCTTCCTGACCAATCAGGAAAGCGGGATGCGAGTCGTGAGGTGCCGTCCGGCTTCCTGACTGGTCAGGAAGCCAGGCTGCCTAGCAACAAGTGAAGCCGGCTTACTAGCCAATCAGGAAGGCAGGCGGCACATCATGACGCGCCTCCCGGCTTCCTGATTGGCTAGGAAGCTGGCTTTACTTGTTCTAGGCAGCCTGGCTTCCTGACCCGACTTCCTGATTGGTTATTACAAGCCGCCCGGTTTCCCGATTGGTTAGGAAGCAAGGCTGCCTAGCAATAAGTAAAGCCAATCAGGAGGCGGGTCATAACCCACTGCCCGGCGTCCTGATGGGAAAGGAAGCCGGCCCCATGCTCCTGAAGCACTGCCGGTCAGAGGGAGAACTCCCTCTAACTGGAAGTTCTGGTATCGGGGTAAGTATCGGAGCATTTGGCCGAGTACGAGCCCAAATACTCGGTATCGGCACCGATGCATCCCTAATAATGATAATATTTGTACTCAAAATAATACTATTAATAATATAAAAAAATATAAGAGATTGGTTTTAGTTCGGTGGTTGTGGCTTGTTGGGGAGGAGCTGCAGCTCTGGAAACGCATTGGCTTCGTGCAATCTGTCTTTGGGATATCTTTGTGTATATTATGGTGGGGCCCTTCAATTCTAGATTCACTTATCGCTCTTGCAACCCAAACTTTAATAGGGGGACATTGACGACTAACTAAACTAACTTACTAACCTTTCTGATGGCTGGAGCAAGATCCCAGTATACGTAAAGTGACACTAAGCTCAGGAGTTGAATCTTAAAAAATACATTCAAGTCCCCGAACTATTAATTTGGAGAAGCCAAGCTTGAATAGCGGTGGGGGGGGGGGGGGGGGGGAGCTTGGTGCGGTGACTTCTTTACAATACACACAGGGACCATGGGGAACAAAAGTAGTCACTATGGATGCACCGATACCTATACTAGTATCGGTATTGGTGCCGATACTGAGTATTTGGGCGAGTACCTGTACTCGCCCAAATGCTGCCGGTGCCTTCTGGTATCAGGAAGCCGGGTGGTGAGTCATTACACGCTGCCTGGCTTCCTGATTGGCCCGCGGAACCGGCTCCATGCTCCCTCGTTACCAGGGAGATGGCTTCCCGGCCAATCAGGAAGCCGGGGGGCGTGTAATGACTCGCTTCCCAGCTTTCTGATTGGTCAGGAAGCTGGCCAATCAGAAAGTGCGACCACTAGTCGTTACCCCACCTCCAGCTTCCTGATTGGCCAGTAAGCCGGCCTCGTGCTTCCTCGTCACCTGGTGACGAGGGAGCATGGAGACAGCTTCCCGTCGTCACACGCCGCCTAGCTTCCTTAATGGGGCTTCCGGATTCGGTGTTTCGGCGAGTACCCCAAAAAAAAATATCAATACCGATATTGGTACATCCCTAGTTTAAACATTTGCCAATATACGGAAAGAAAGGGACACGATTACCCGGGAAGCTGAGAGGAGAGTTGTTGGACGCCAACAGGCTTCCTGAGTGGGACTTCTGATATTGGTATTCGGTATCTGGGAGTACCCCCAAAAAAAAAATATGGGTGCTCGATACCGAAAAACCGGTATCAGTGCATCCCTAGTAGCCCCCCTCCAGAAGGAAGGACAGTGTCAGAGATGATTGGAGGATCTACAGCCGAGTGATACACAAATCAGATACATTTTTGTTCATACCCTGTTTCCCTGAATTTAAGACCTAGTACTATTTTTGGGAATTGCTAAAATATAAGACCTACCCCGAAAATAAGACCTAGCTGTGACCCGGCCAGGGCTGGTGGTGGCATAAGGGGGGAACCTGAAGAGCCGCATGAGAGAATCAAGGTGCCAATGAATGGAAAGGTACGGCACCCCCTGATTGCCCTGATCACACTATTCTTAACTTGCCATTTTGGATTATTTAATTTGGATTTGCATTAACTTTGGATTGTTGTACATAAAAAAAAAAAAAATAAGACCTATTGTGTTTTTTTGAGGCCAAAAAAAAAAATAAGACAGTGTCTTATTTTTGGGGAAACACGGTAGTTAAGGGACTTGAATGTATTTTTAAGGTTTGATTCCGGAATTCAGTGTCACTTTGTTGATGTAACCGCCAAGAATTGTTCTTAGAATATTCTCATGTAGGTTCTGTAGAGAAGGGGGCAGTGTGGCTCTGGGCCCTCCCCATGTTGTGGAACACACACATCCTCTATGTTCCTTTTAATATTTGTATGCCTGTAGCAGAGGTTACCTCGGTCAGTAATGAACCGGCATAGTAGATCTTCCAGGGACTACACCATCCAGCGAAATGTTTTCCCTCAATCTTCAGCAGGTTTTAGAGAAGCGAGAGATCAATACCTGATTCTGAAGAAATTGTTCCCTGTGAAAGCGTGCGGCTTTTCCCAGCTCTCCCTCCTTCCCCTGATCTAAACGCCAGCCTGAGCACTGAACTTTTGTAAACAGTAAAGTTCCTTTCAGTCGCTGCGCTCAGAATGTAGCCGCGTATTGACCGAGGTCAATCGCAGTATAAACAGCTTTCTTTCAGCGAGGCTTTATTTGTACGGAAGGTTTCTGGTCAATGCCTGAGAACGTGGTGAGAAAATGACTCCGCCCCTTTTGTATATATATAAAACCGAAAGCTATAAAAAGTACAACAATGATCACAATAATAATGTTATTTACATTATGCTGAGGATTAAAAACCCCCATCAGATGCCATCCGTGTCCTGCAAGGTAGACATCCCTTCACTTCCTGTCTTGGAGATGCAACAGGAAGAAATCCCCAAAGTGAGGGGAATTCCCATCTAAGACAGTTGTCACCATAAGTAGGGATGCACCGATACCGGCATTGAGATGACGAGGGAGCATGAAGCCGGCTTCCCGGCCAATCACAATGCCGGGTGCTGCGTCATTACACGGCGCCCGGCTTTCTGATTGCCCAGCTTCCCGACCAGTTAAGAAACAGGGCAGCGCGTCATTGCAGCGGGAAGTCGGCTCCATGCTCTCTCGTTACAAGTGACGAGAGAGCATGGAGCCGATACCCGGCCAATCAGGAAACCGGGCAGCGTGTAATGACGTGCTGCCCGGCTTCCAGATACAGGAAGTATTCGGGCTAGGCATCGGAGCATTTGGGCGAGTAGCAGTACTCGCCCAAATACTCGGTATCGGCACTGATATTGATACTAGTATCGGTATCAGTGGATCTCTAATCATAAGATTTCCCCTCACCGCTTGCTCCAATGACATCTCTAAAATGTAGTATTTTGACAGTGGTCACTGGGACAAGCGAAGGAATGGATTGATGGAGCCCCAGACGGCAAAAAAAACTTGTCCAAGGTTCTAACCCTTCCGCGCTCTACTAAAAACTTATAAAGAATAAAGTTAGCCTTTGCGTGCCCTTTAACTTATCAAAGGTGGAAGCTTTGGCCTTACGCAAATGACTTTGAGTTGCATTTAATTCATTTTTAATCTGTCCCTTATGAGCAATGATGGCATCAGGGTGCTGTTTAGATATTGTGTCCGGTTCCCTGTAGAAAGCGTGGCCATGCAAAATTCAATAAAATAATATACACTGGATACCCTACTGATAGAGAGCCTGAATGGGCCATATACAGTCAACTACAGTTACACCAATTTGAGCATCATCTGCAACAACTGGCTGTGCGAACACCCAAGCCACAGCTTGCATCTGTTTGTAGAGTTTGCAGGTGGAAGTTTGGGAAAAGCCTGTCATTGTTTACCGATCATTCCATGGGAAATACACTATAGGGGCAAAGGTCTATGGACACCTGACCATTACACCTATATCGGCTCGTTGACATCCCATTCCAAAACCATAGGTGTTAATATGGAGTTGACCCCTCTTACAGCTATAATGGTATCCATCCTTCTGGGAAGGCTTTCTACAGACGTTTGGTGGAAATGTGTACTCATTCAGCCAAAAGGGCATTTGCGAGGTCAGGTACTCATGGTGGATGAGAAGAACTGGCTCACAACTGACGTTCCATTTCACCCCAAAGGTGTTTAGTAGGGTTTAGGTCAGGTATTAATGTTAGATGAGAAGACCTGGCTCCCAATTGACGTCTTAATGCACCCCACAGGGGCTCTGTAGAGTTGAGGTCAGGTACTGATGTTGGATGAGAAGACTTGGCTCACAACTGACGTTCCAATAACCCCAAAAGTGTTCAGTGGGGTTGAGGTCCGGTACTGATGTTGGATGAGAAGACCTGGCTCACAATTGACGTTGCAATTCACCCCAAAGGGGCTCAGTAGGGTTGAGGTTAGGTACTGATGTTGGGTGAGAAGACTTGGCTCACAACTGACGTTCCAATAACCCCAAAGGTGTTCAGTAGGGTTGAGGTCAGGTATTAATGTTGGGTGAGAAGACTTGGCTCACAATTGACGTTCCAATTCACCCCAAAGGGGCTCAGTAGGGTTGAGGTCAGGTATTAATGTTGGATGAGAAGACCTGGCTCACAACTGACGTTCCAATTCCCCCGAAGGGTGTTTAGTAGAGTTGAGATCAGGGCTCTGTAGGACACAAGTTCCTCCACACCAAACTCATGAAACCATGTCTTCATGGAGCTGGCTTTGTACACAGGGGACAATCTGTTGCCACAAGGTTGGAAGTGACCAACTGTCTAAAATGTCCTTGTATGCAGTAGCGTCAGCAGGACCGGTCACAGGAAACACCTGAACTCAAAAATTAAGAGGGGGTGTCACATACTTTTAGCTGTATCAGTAGGTGTGATGATCCGGTGTCTGCAATCTCTTGGCCATATAGTTTAGAACAAGGGTGGACAACTCCAGCCCTCCAGCGGGATTTGTAGGTAAAGTACAGCTGGAGGGCCCGGGGTTGCCCACCCCCTGGTGTAGAACTATTTCTTCATTCACCACACGATCTGTTGGCGTGGATGATCCACACCAGCTGTTGCTTTCATACGATGGTCTGCCTGGGAAGTGTTTTGTATGTATGAATAGCAGTTTGATCGAGTAGCTTTGTAGAATGTTCTAAACCTGTGGTTGTCTCGTACTAGTATCAGTAACGTAAATAAATCTTTGTCTCCAGTTTTGGACAGCAAAGCCATAGATTCTAACCAGCCAATGAATGCACTGATGCGACTAAACCAGATTCGACCTGGCTTGCAATACAAACTGCTGTCTCAATCAGGTCCAGTACATGCACCAGTTTTCACTATGTCTGTTGATGTAGATGGAACCACACATGAGGCCTCCGGACCATCCAAGAAAACAGCCAAGCTTCATGTAGCAGTAAAGGTGAGTGGAGACGTTGCTTTTGCTGAACACCTCTGAGGTGTCTTTTATTTGATATGTGTGAGTTGTTTGGTGTTTTTTTTTATTACTAGACATTGGGCTCAATTCACAAAGCCAACGCATCAGGATAAAGATAATTTGTCCTAAAAAAAATAAAAGTGACGGTTACTTTCATTTGAATCCAATGAGATTTGAAAGTGTCAGTCACATGACTGAGATAAAGATTTCAGTTATTGAACTCCGTAAACAGTCTACTTACAACACGCTTGCTGCGGCATGGCCTGAGGTGGAAACTTTTACATCCCACCATTCTGTGTTGGACTTCTGCATCCTCCTCCACATGCTGTGGTCTTACCTGCCAGGCCCATACGTTACTGCTGTCCCGTGTAGTGATGCAAGGGCCTGTGGGTGGAACCACTGAAGTGTTGCATGTGAGAATTGTGCCGCGGGCTGTAGCTTTTGAAAGGAGCAGAGGTCTAAGGAACAGACAAGTAGTAAAGAAGCACTCTGATGCAGAATAAAGCTTAACCCTTGCAGTGCCCCTTCTCCCAGCGCTGCAAAAGTTAAAGGAGAACTATGGGGTCAGTGTTTTTCCACAAAGCTCTCCTAAGGGTCACGGGAGGGCACAAACTAGCGTCCTCCCGTCACTCAAAGCTCAGTATACCGCGTGCTGTACTGAGACGCCACAGCTGAAACGGCTCCCGTCAATTATGCAGAGCCAGCTGTACCCGCCCCCTCCCCCGTCCGTTCCGCCAGTCAGCGCTATACTGAGACCGCCGCAGCCAGGACGGATCCTGACATTACTGTCGAGATCTACCCAGCTGTGTGAGTGACAGCTGGCTCTGCCTATCTAGAGAC